TTTAAAAAAATTATTAATTTCAAAACAAAATATAAATCAATATCAAATATGGCAAACTTACAAAAATAAAACATCATATATAAGTTAATTTATAAAATAATTTCGAAATTAACATAAAATAATAAGTCAAATAATTATCTTAATTTTGCTATTTCTTAAAAAATGAATAGTAATATATATATACACTATATAAAATTGAAGTTATAAGCCATTAAAAACTTTCACATAGAATTTAAAAAACCAATCATATCATGATACATAATTTTTTTATTTGTTATTTTAAAAAATGTTAATGTTGCCAAAACAATAATTTCAAAATAAAAATTAAATATGTATCAGGTAAACTTACAAAAAGTAAAAACATTATATATAAGTTAACTTTACTATATCACAGATTTGTGAAATTAACATTAAAATAACTAATTATCTTAATTTTGATATTTCTTAGAAAAAGTCAATATTACAAAAATGATCTATTTCAATATAAAATGTAAATCAGTATCAAAATTTGATAAATTACGAAAGTAAAAGCATCATATATAAGTGAGGTAGTTAACTAAGTATATAGAAGAGTTTTAAAAATTAACATTAAGTAAATACCAAAATAATTTGGCAAATGACTATCTTAATTTTGTTATTTCTAAAAAGGTGAATGGTAACAAAAATCTATACTATAAAAAATATGTTAATAAATACAGTTATTCATTACATATACAAAAAAAAATCTAAATATTACTTATTTAAATATTTTTCTACAAGTTAAAGAGAAAACAAAAAAATATATTTTCTGAGTACAAAGAAAAATTATATATTATGCTGAAGTTTAATCATTTATTTTGTTAAAAATTTAAAAATGTATGATGAAAATATTATAACGTGATAACAGTTTATATGCATTGAGAAATCTATTTGATATTATAAAATATAAATTAATATTTCTAAAAATTATGAATATGTTTACATAACCATAATTATTATNTTATTATATTTACAAATACAAATAACCAAATAGCTAATAAGAAAACATAATTATAAGAAAACATAAATACTAAATTAAATTATATTTTAAATAATAAAATTATATTATTCAATTAATTTTTTTTTGTTTTAAGTTATTTTAAATCTAAGCTAAATTATTAATACAGACTCGCGCGTAGCGCGAGTATAAAATCTAGTGTTACAAAAAAAAAGAGAGACAAAAGCAAAGTAGCAAGGGAATCTTCACGTAGTGTGCCTTGTGCAATAACGTTTCGTGTTTATTCTCATATACCATAGTTACATAAACTATCAGTTCAGAGCTCCATTATTCTAGACAGGTGTAATCTTAATTCCAACTTTACTTCTGTAATTTTAATACTGACAAACACACATATACATATGACTTTTCTTTTACGAAAAGGCGATTTCACCTATTTGCTGAAACGAAAACTTAAATAATGTAAATAATCTCTTTCAGTGAGACTCATGTACGACTAGAACATATGGATAACCAAATTATTTCCGTGTTTACATTTTAAAATTTCTGGTTTGGAGATAATTTAATGTTCATTAGGTGTTTTTCTGCGTGAAAATAATTAAACATAAAAATTTGTCAATATTTTTGATTTTATTATTTTATACCAATATTTTAATACAAATACTGATTCAGTTAAAACTAAAATTAAGATAAATAAACAATTTGATTTGTATTAAATTATATTTAAGAATATATATGTATATATTTAAAATATAATCTTAGTTAGATTTTATTTATTTTTAAACTTATTAGATTAAATTGTATAAAATTAAAAACAGATATAACATTAAATCAAAAAATAAAAATAAACATAAAAAAATGTAGATACCAAAAGAAACAAATGGAACTGTAATTAAAAGTTTATAATTTTACAAAAGATTTTCTATAATTGTTTAGTAATAAATATTTTTGACCAAAAAAGTAATAGTTTTTATGGTTATAAAAATAGACTTGAAGAATAATTTGAAATTTATAAACTATTTATATTTATATTATTATATTAATTAATGGCATATTTGAATCTATTTATTTTAATGATAATATTTAAATTATTAGCATATTCTACAAGGTTTATCAAATATAAAAATCATCATTAAATATAATTATCTATAATTAATCCTACAATATTGTTTACTGCCAGAGGGATAAATTCATCGGGTCTATTTTACTTTTGGGATGTGTGAACCGTTACAATAATTCTGCCAACACTACTGGTTTTACAGATTTACTTATCATATATATATATATATATATATATATATATATATATATATATATATATATATATATATATATATATATATCGGGTATTTTCTTGTACCATGTACATTAATAAATTTTCGAAAATTTAAAACATATTTATCAGTAGAGATTTGTTCATTTTTAGATTCTATTATTTGCGTACAATAATTTATTTTTAAATTCAATTATATATAAAAATTATGATAAAATATAATTTTATTTAAATTTACATTTAATAATATATATGTATATATTTAAACCTATAATCTAATAAATATTAATATATATATATTGCTTTTGCTTAAAATATATTAAATAAATTGTAGAAAATATTATTTTGTTAGGTATATAATTATCAAAACTTAAAAATAAACAATATTTCTACAATTTGTAGATATTTAAAAGAAACTCATAGTAATGGAACTATAATTTTTTTAAAATTTCATAATTTTTGAAGTTTGTTTTAGTAATAAAAATTATAAATAAAATTATAAGAATATTTCGAAAATTGTATAATGTTATTTCATTTTATTTTACTATTATTAAATCAGTATTATTTCCATAGTTGGTGTTTTACATTCTGAATTTTGAATATAATTTTTGCTACATTTCCATTAAAACTTTAATTATTTTTGTATATTTTGTCAACAATTTCTTTAATAAGTTTTTCGTGCTAATTTATTTTATAAGCTCTTATCAGTATTATATTAAAAGGGGAATACCCTCGACTCTTAAGCTATCCACTTCTACATTAAAATTCAGGCCAATTAGAAATTTCTAAATAACCACATCAGACCAGGTTTAGTCGACACATAATTTTCGCCGGCAGCTTATTAGGCTGATAATTTTGCAAAAATAGTAGTTTTCAAAAAAAAAAAATTGTAATTTCAAAAATTTAAATAATACATAGGGTATTTATCAATTTTATGTTTATTTTGATCTTGAATGAGATTCCATATTGGATTTTATCGACCTTCAAAAACAAAATACTTAGATATATGTAACGTTGTAGTGGTACATAAAAAATCAATAAAACATGGCCAGTGTATTGGTGTTCATTAAAAAAAAAAATGATCAATCCACCCACATAGATATAATAAACAGTTTTAAGGGTATTTAACTTGCAAATATTTTTCTTTTGTAACATAAGCAAGACATGTTGTGAAAAGTAAAAGATATTAACTGGTTGGATGGTCAACACCAACAATAATGAAATAAGTTTTTAAAAGTTTAATATTAACAAACCAAAGATAAAAACATGTATTGGTTTATATAATTTATAATTTGATATTAGTTATTTTAAAACTAAAAACAAATTTAAGATAGGATAAATAGTTGTGGCTAACAAATATTAAGCCGATAAGTATAAAAGATGATAAATGAAAGAGTTCATCCGATTCCATATGATGATGCAAAATAAAAGATAAATAAAGAATGCAAGTTATCTAACTAACATAGATTTATAAAACTTAAGATTTTAGGCATGTTTACTATCATATCTATTTGTTGATATATATATATATATATATATATATATATATTCAAAAAATTATATATATATATAAACGCTAATTTGTGGAGTGCAAATACTCTTTAATATAACTATTGTATGATGAAGTCCACATTTATAAATTAATGTTAAATCATAATTAAAATTAAAATTTTCAATCAAATATTAAAGATGTCAGCGATTACACTTTTAAATTGTCATGTGTATATTTAAAATTAAATTAGTTTTCTAATAAATATGCAAGAGACTATAATCAAACTAATATATTCTTATATAATCGATACATATTAAAAAAAATATTGAAAAAATATTCTAGATTATAAAATCATAACTAAACCATATCAATATTACCAAAACCAGCGCATCCCTAGTATACTTAAATGGGAGATTTCAATTATACCACTTTGGTGGTACCATTTTTCATGTTTACCATCAACAAAGAAACATTTTCAAAAATACACATTTTATTAAAGGATAAAAAACTCTTATATCCTTGTTATTTATATATATACATAAAATAAATATTAAATGAAATATTAACCCTAAACCTTAAAACATCAATTCTAAACTCTAGACCCTAAAAAGTAAACCCTAAACCCTAAAAATCAACCCTAAACCCTAAAATATCAATTTTAAACCTTAAACCCTAAACTCTAAACCCTAAAAAGTAAACCCTAAACCCTAAAAAAACAACACTAAACCCTAACCTATCAATCCTAAACCCTAAACCCTAAATTCTAATAGTATTTTGACTATTAAAATTTTAGTGGTAAAGTTGGTTAGTGTAAAATTGAAAAGTGGTATCTTAAAAGTGTTATTTCTGATAATTTCCATATTTAATAAATAGACAACATGCAATATTTTTCTTTAAAAAGGAATAATTAAGTGCAAGTCTTTAGTCTATTTCAAATTTAGAAACTAAGCATGTTTTGAGGATCTTGACAGTTTACAGCACATGTTCACTTTTGATTTGATTTCTTAAATTAAGCTCTAAAAATAGAATCAAATAAATACTTTCCGTAATTATCTCCAATAAATTTTAAATATTGATATCGTAAAATAAACATCACACCATCGTCTTCTTTAGTGTTTTCACCATCTTCCACCTTCAACTTACCTAGACAGCTCCTTTCCACCTCTTTTCTCTCTATCTTTTTCTCTTTTATATTCTCCGACAAAACAAAACACACAAAGAGACTCAGACAAGACTGTTCGAAACTAAAACAACATACACACCATCATGGGTTCTTCCCCTTCTAAAACCACTTCTTCTTCTTCGTGTTGCTCGGCGTCAACTTCACCTCCCGTGACGAAACTCATGAACTCCAAGGTCTCATCGCCGTCGCCTACGACGGTTCCGAAATCTTTCTCATTTCCGATGCCGTCGGTTCACCATCCACCGGCTAATAAAGGCGACTCGGACCACCTCGTCTCTCTCACATCCACCACTTACGGTTCTCTTCACATCACCGATCTCAACGTAGACTCTGTCATACAAACGTTGCCTCATATCAAGAAGACGCCTGAACCAGATGAGTCACACGACTCGTTATCTCCAGACTCAGTGATTAACACATGGGAGCTCATGAACGGCCTCGAGGACGACTACTTGGATACTTGTGATAACGGTAACGGTAAGCATGATTCGGTCTTTAATATTGCATAATGAAGCATTTGTCTTGGCTCCCAAAATTTTAAAGTTATAATAATACATAGTAGTCACATGGTCTTAAATAATTGATTGATTTATTTTTTTATTAGGATTACCCTAAAAATGTTTATGGCCTTCTTAATCTTAGATCCGGTCACAGCTGATCAGGACGTTGGTGTTAATGTGTCTGCCCTGGAACTGGATGACTCTTACGAGTTCGTGGGAATTGAAGAAGATGATGAAGATTGGATCCCATTGCCTTTAAAATCTAAGCAGCCTCTGTGGAAACATTTAGCTGAAGAATCATTTCTCTCTGATTTAGATCCTAACATCATCTCATCCTACAAGAGAGCATTGTCTTCAAAACAAATAGGCAAAGACACAAGACCAACCAGTTTACCAGAACCTGTACGTTTGAGTTTAGTGAGTTCTCAGGCTTTGGAAGAGCAAGAGAAACCAAGGTTGTCTGAAGTAGAGGACGACAAGAACAAGGTAATATTGTACTTCACTAGCCTCAGGGGAATACGAAAGACTTTTGAGGATTGCTGTTATGTAAGAACGGTCTTGAGAGGGTATCAGGTTGCGGTAGAAGAACGTGACATTTCAATGGACTCAAGATACAGAAAAGAGCTTCAGATTGCACTAAGTGAAGAGAAACCGGTTTGTTTGCCTCAGGTGTTCATAAGAGGTGTCCACATTGGTGGAATGGAGGAGATCAAGAAACTCAATGATGGAGGTGAACTTGGAGAGATGTTAAAAGGGTTTCCTGTTTGTGAATCCGTGGGAGCTTGTGAATGCTGCGGGGATGCAAGGTTTGTGCCTTGTACTAGTTGTGGTGGTAGCACCAAAGTGTTTGAGGAACAAGAAGATGGGTTTAAGAGATGCAATGGTTGCAATGAGAATGGTTTGGTACGTTGTACGAAATGTTGTCTCTAGTGACTGAATTCGGTTGATTGATGTTAATGTGAAGAGAGGACAAAACATTTAGGGATATACTTGTGAGTTGAGATATGTTTTGGTTGGTTGTGTTTTTTTGTACATTGATATAGGAAATGGCTTAAGGATCAAAGCTATCATCATGCCTTTAGGCATCGATTGTTTTTCTTTTTACATTGATGTTATAAAAAATTGATTTTTCATTAACAAGATTCTAGGTAATCAGATGTTTATTACTGGTTCTAAAATATAACTTAGTTCGAAACAGTCTGATCAGAACCATCATTCGAAATGGACATTTGAAATTGTAAGAAACTTACACTAGTATACAAGAGATTTGTGCCAAAAGTTTCCGATTAATTTTGATTATGAAACTTCTGATAAAGCTCAAATGTAACATGTTACATACATTAGGCAATCTCGTTTTGTTTATAATTCCCAGCCCACTTAATTTGCATGTATCATTATGTATCATGTCTTGATGTCAAAAGCATGTCTATATATATAATCTATATATATTGGTTTGTGTTTCGTATAAATATACAGAGCTAGCCTATACATGAGCCTTTTTAACAGTTTTACAAGAATATAAGAAAGCTTTGTCAAAACAATGGTCAACTATGGAAGGTGGTCGAACCTGGCTGATTCGTGTTTGACCCATGAGTTGACTTTCTCGGCTTCACGGCCAAGTCTTTGCTCCTCCAATCGCGCTGCCTTAAGCTGATGCTCTTGCTCCTTCAGGGAGAACGTGCTTGCATCCGATAGAAATTTGTCATCGTCTGTTGGCAAGCACCGGTCACCGGTGGTACTTTCATAGGTATCTGGATGGCGAGAGCAGCACAAGCTTGAGCCCATGTGGATCAAACTAAATCTTAATTTGATGGAAACAAGTAACCAGATATGAATAAATAAAAATAAAAAAATCTTGTTGAAGATTGAAATTCAAGAACAAATGAGAGAGAGAGAGAGAGAGAGAGAGAGAGAGAGAGGACGATATAAGAGGTAGGTTTGATGTTGGACTAAGAATGTGTTATTTGCTGAATATTAGTGGTTTGAAAAAAAAGAAAGTAAAACTTTTCATTTTTCTAATATAATTGTGTATTGGAGTATGACATCAATAATAAAACAAACGATTTGTATTACTATATTCATTGTCATTGACTATTCTTTTCAAAAAGACATTTCAACATGTTATTTGACTATTCTTTAAAATTCTAGATGGCTGCACTATATGAAACGAACCAGCCGAGTGGTAACCATTAATTAAAATTGAGTTCCATGTTAAGAATCATAAACAAGGGTATGAAGTAGATCACTCTAACTTAGAAGCTATGTTACATGGAAATGGAATCAGAAGCGTGAAAACGGAATCATATGGAAACGGAGAATCGAAATTTCTAAAAAAAATTAGGAAGCGGAAAGGTGTTAAAAACGTATATCCTATATATATATATATAAATATAAAAAAAAATTATAAAATTTATAACTAAAAATTATATGATTTTAATTTAAAGTAAAACATTTATTCATTTATCATAATTTTAAATGATTACATATTATAATTATAAAAATACAAATAAATTAAGTTTATAAACAAATATTATCAATTAGTTATTTTTACATTTAATAAGTAATTGGCACACAAGATTTGAATATATATATATATATATATATGATATATCTCTAATAAAAACAGTGCATACGTATGATTTATAGTATTTACATATATATATTCTCACTATATATATTATTATATATTATAAAAATAAAAATGGTTTATATTTTATTTATTTATATATGATATTGTGTTTTTAAAATTGGAAGCGTGATTCCAAAGTGGAATCGTAAGCTTTCACGTGTTTTTATATAGGATATTTTAGAAGTGTTTTGGAATCAAGATTCCGCAAGTTTCTATAAGGTTCCGATTCCAGTTCCGAAGCAGGAAATGCACGTTCGTCCGATGAAACGTTGCGTAGAAGTCCGTGAATCATTAGTATGTTATTTTTAATGTATTTTTAACTTTTTAAACTGATATAAAAATTTATAAATAATAGTAAAAATTTGTTGATTTTAAACGTGGGCTTTGCTGAACATTAGATACTGAACTCAGCAGGTGAGTTTTCACTGTTGTTGGCTCTATTGTTACGTTTGTTGCTATGCTATCAGGGAGCAGTGGAAATGGTGTGTACTTTCTTTGTTCCGTTGGGAGATATTTCTCTGAGAAGAAGAGAGCTAAAGCAGAGAAAGACTCCAATGTGCTTCTTGATTATAGCACAAGATAGTACTATAAAATAGATACAGGTTATATAATTGCTTGATGAATGGAAGAGACCACACGAGTCTTTGTATCCATTTAGTTCGTTCAGTAAGAGGAGAGAGTTACCATCGAACATAACATAGATCAAAGACTTATGATTGTTTTCCTGGTTTCCCCTACGACTTCTTTAGGTAATTAACAACTGTTTAGGTAGTGGATAAGAAGATGCAGACTTCTCAGGCCTCCCTTACAAAGAAAGTTTGTCAATCTAACTAAAGATAGATTGCTGTCTACACAAATCTAACAAGGATTTACATCTGGCATTTAAGAAATAAACACACACACACACATGTATTTATTTAACTTTGATGCTGCGGACAGTGGCATCAGGTAGTAAAATGCAATTGTCAGCTCTTACATGTTTACAAGGTTAGCTACAACTAAACGGTCTTCAAGGTTAGCTATCTGCCCAGACTTGCAGAATCCAGGTGGTGTCCTAACACTACGAAACTCTTCCGTGTGTAGATCCAATTCTCGAGCAGGTGATGTCCTAACACCTAACAAGAGAATTGGAACTTGGTGATCCAGTGCAGTGGCGGAGCTACTGAAAAAGCATGTGGGTCAGCTGACCCCTGTCAATTCTCAGTTTTTATCTAATATAAGCATATAACTGCAATAAATATTGATTAATTGGCTCATTTTTCATGGTTTGACCCCACTTGATAGTTGTAAATCTTCCAATAAATTTATGTGTATGTAACTTTGACCTCGGTAGATTTTGTTGCTACCTCCGCCACTAGTCCAGTGTAGTATAGTTCTCCTCTACCAAAATTTATAAATATCTGAACGAGGTTAGAATCTCGAACCCTGAAAACCTAAAAGTCGAATAGATCCTAATCAAATCCAAATAGATATCCGGACGCCCATCTCTAATGTAAATCATTAATATGTTATTTTAATATATTTTAACCGATTTAAAAAATTATATAATTTATGAATTACAGTAAAATTTTATTGATTTTAAATCTAACATATGTAATTTAACTTGAATTTAAAAATCTAGAATTTTATGTTCATATTTAAACTGTATTTTAATTAATAAATATTTAAGTCTGTTAAAATTTATATAATGGAATATAATTTAATCTAAATTATGATGTATATACAAATCATAAAACTAATAATACATTATTTTAATACAGATATAAAAATTATAGAATTAATAAAATTAAATTGATAAGAAAAGAAAGAATTAACAAAATTAAATTAATTTAGTTCAAATACGTTAAAATACATAATTCAATAATCGCCACTAACCATACACTTATACAGTTATACAACATCTTAGCAATTGTCCTAAACAAAATTTGATATTCTTTTCTACTGTAAAAGACAAGGGAAATTATGTGAGATAGCCATGAAAAAAAATTAAATTTAGTAACTAGCTAAAATCTCCCCTTCTCTCTTCATTTCTCTGCCTATCTCTCTACTCTCTCACTAAAAAACTAATTTTCTTTATTTTTTTGCTATTTGGCAAATAAGCCCAAAGAACAATACACATTCACTCTTGCAGTAAAGTTCCCAATACACCGAAAAGTAATCATTTGGTGTCTTTTCTGATCTTTACTTTTCATTTTGAAAATTGAACTGTTAAATTAAACTAAAACTCCACCAATAAATCCCCAAATTGGAAAAATCTAGGGTTTCACCGAACGTGATCGCATCTCTACCGAGACGATGAGCGACATCACCGGCATTGATACGGCGCCGTTGAGCGAACCCAAGGGAGGATCCGACGCCGCTCGGATCTCGGAAGTGAAATCATGGCTCGCCTCACAATTCGAATCCGCAGGGAAACAAGTCCCTAATTTCGACTACACTCATCGAAGCATCACTCATCTCTACAACCTCGCCACCGCTTCTCAAGCCAAGTCTCAAGCCGCAACGATCGTCGCCAACGATTTTCGTCAAAAGGCTTCCGAGTACCGTGCTCAAGGTTACTTGAATCTTTCTCTTCGATAATTGAATTGAAACAAAAAAAAGTTTGAATCTTTTCTCTGTTTTTAGCTGCTCGGGTTCGAGAGATATTGGAGAGTGCGGGAATGGCACAAGAGAGTTTACCGTCTAATGTGGTTTCATCAGCTCAAGTTCTTGCTAACGTGGCGAATTTGCTGAATATTAGAGATACTGAACTCAGCAGGTGAGGCTCTCTTATTACTTTTGTTGCTATGCTATCACTATTCACTGATGTAGTAGAAATGGTGTGTAGTTTCCTTGTTGCAATGGGAGATATTTCTCTGAGGAAGACTGGAGTGGAGGAGAAGAGAGCTAAAGCACAGAAAGATTCTAATGTGCTTCTTGATTATACTAGGAAAGCGATTCAGAGGCTGACCTATTTGAAGAAGTAAGATTTCTTGATAATAGATTTGAGTATTATGATCTTCACTGGTGTATCTTACTTTTATCTGTGTTGAGTTTTCTTTTTTTACAGAATCCTTGCGCAGTTAGAAGATGATGTGGTTCCGTGTGAATCTCAGATGGAGAATTGGAAAACGAATTTGGAAGTTATGGCAGCTAAGGAGGAACAGTATATACAGCAGTACAAGAAGTATGAGGTATAGACGCCTTCTTTTCCTTTTAGTGTTTAGATTCTTCTTAAGTAAGCTTAGAATCAGATACCTTTCTGCTACTAGATGAGATACCTTCATGTAAAAACTGGAACAAACTCTTAGCTAGCTGAAACAGGTAGATGATTAGTTTAGTGTTGCTCAAACTATATTCTTGCTAGTGATATAAGGATATAGTTATTTTTTATGTTGTGCTATATCATAACCATACATTCTGATAAAGATTCTCATCGTGTAAGAAGTACAGTGATGATGTTGGATAGGAATGTACTGTTATCGTACCTTTTTGACTTTATGTATATTCTGGGGAGCAGATGTTGGTCAACCGTGTTGGCTACAGTCCTAAGATCAGCCACAGAGAGCTCGTGGAAATGGCGGAGCACAGGAAGGAATTGGAGAAGATGACAAAACCTGTCGTTGATACTCTAAGAAGCTATCAGGACCTGCCTCCGGTAATCTTCTTACTTCTTTTTCATTGATATCAAAAGAAAATTGATACATCTCTGCTTCTTCCAAATATTAAATAAACACTTACTGATCTACACGATCAGTGTTCTCTTTGTTGTTGGTCGTTGCTAGTCTCGGCTCACAGTATATTGGTTGCTCGTATCTTTGAGCAGGACAAAGCTCTGGCTGCATTAGCAATCGAAGACAAGAAGAGACAGTTTGCAGCCGCCGAAAAGTATCTAGAAGAAGTATTACAATCTGCTCTTGAGACAAGCGATGAGTGATCGGTGTAAAACTGTATATGGGCAAATGCATTTTTGCTTTCTGTCCAAATTTCCCAAAGGGGACATCGATATAAATATGAATACGATGTCTCCAACGACGGCTGTTACCGAAATTTTCTCTGGATTTTAATTCAAATATGTTCTTGATTATTATGAAACAGCACTGTTTACTTTCACATTATCACATCTACTCCAAACACCAAAAATACTCTAAACATCTAATAATTTTACTTGTAAATATTCAAAACAAACCAGTTTTTATCTAAATTTTAGATTTTTTTTTTAATTTTAGATATTTAGGAATACACTATTCAAACTTATGGTATTATGATTTTTAGATTTAAAAAAAAATCAGTTAATATATGAATTTTAATTTTCAAAAGTAATTTATTGGTATATCCGAATCCAAAATGATTTCACAAATTATGAGGAAAGCTATACACTGTGTGAGGCAAAGGAATAGTGTCTCCACAATAATATACATTTCCACTAGTCTCAAATCCAAAACCAAGCTATAAAGTCCACAGACAATATTTATTTATGAATAGAAAAACATAAAACATGTACGAAAAGAGGATATAGACAATAGATTTTATCAAGCAATTTATTTTAATGGCCATTACTCAACAAATGTTCTTGTGTTGCCAAACACTCTCTTGCAATTAAATCAGCAGCTCTGAGCAGGTACTCCAATCAGAAGATGCAAAAATCCAAGAGACAACAACAGCAGAGAGCAGCAAGACTGCAAAATCATAACATTTGTTCACATTCTCAATCTGTTTTAGTATGATAAAACCGGAGTAACCAAAAACTTTTACAAGTATGTATAGTTTCAACTACTCGTAACATTCTCAAAACCAGTAACACGCTTGCAAATCCATTTGCTTTAGGTATGCAATGTAGTAAGTAACCAGTAGAAGTTCAATGTTTGATGCAAGCATGTTCATCCTAAAGAATGCAATATGAACTATCAACAAAGAGAGTGTGTGTGTGAGAGAGAGGATAGTAAAGTTTTTTTATAACCACAGAAGTTTCAAGACCTTATGTACATAATCTCCCATTGACTCGAAGTTATATTTAGAAATTATAATTTTAAAATAATATTTCGTACCAGGGTAGTTAAAAGTTAAAACCCATGATACAGGGAAACCAACCCCATTGCCACCAACACTTTTGTATCAAAAGTCAGTCAACTTCTACATAGGAATATTTTAGTTGTATCACATGACATTTTCCCCCTAAGAGGATGTAATCAACGTAGACCCATACGAAACTCACAACAAAAGTTTAATTATTTTTTTTTTGACTAAACACAACAAAAGTGTTAGTAACGCAAGTTTGATTGGATAGAGTACTTTGACTTACCATCCTTCTAGACACCCAGTGCTGCTCTGTTTCTGCTGTTGTTGCTGCTGCTGAGGATATTGCGGCGCATACGGAGGAGGATATCCTTGCTGAGAATAGCCCTGCTGTGGTGGATATCCCTGCTGAGGGTAGCCTTGCGGCGGATATCCCTGAGGAGGATATCCTTGCGGTGGATACGCCTCCTTTGGATATCCCTCAGGCGGATAACCTGAAGAACAAATTTAGTTTAGCGATACAAAAAATTCAACATGGAGATGTGAAGTAAACAATATTCAGGAAACCTTGAGGAGGAGGGACAGCAACGGGAGGTTGGTTGTACTGATTCATTGTTGTTTCTGATCACAGTGCAAACCCTAGTCCACATACTTAGAGAAGTTATAGAGCCATTAGAGACGTGTGGGAAAAGATAAGGAGAAGGAAAAGTCATTGAGAATGTTTTAAGTAAAGCGCGTTTTCTTGCAGTTGTTATTATCTGATAAAGATACTAGATAAAGGGTAATAAATACGATGAAGCCACCACCATTTTTATTTTTTTTTATTTTAGCAATATCTAATTTTGTATAAGAATATGTCATTGGTTTGTATTTTGCTTTGGTTTTCTAGACGAAGATGTTGACATAAAAGAAAACACTACAATTTAAAGATGACTTTTCATTGCAGGATCGGGACTGCATGATCAAGTTGCAGCTCGAGATAACACAATTATTGTAGGTTAAGTGTTACTAGTGATCTTAAGATCCCACTTTTACATATCCATTTTTATATAATTTTTTGTTTGGAGATCTCAAATATGTGTGAATATTATTCTATACAAAAATAAAAATAAAAGAATATTCCATAAATATCTCAAATATGCATGAACAAAATCGTTTTAGAAAATATAGATAAATATAATTTTTTTGTAAGCTTAGATAAATATAACATTTTGAACAATATATTGACAATACAATTTGTGCCTAGTAAGAAAATAGACAAAAAATTGTTAAGAAGATGGAATCATTGACAAGCAAAATAAACCGAACTAAAAAGTATATAAACAATAAAATGTTTACAACATGTTACTAAAACATACAAAAAAAATCTTCATAAATTTAGATTCATATAATATTTGAATTATCAGTTTGGTTTGCAGAATCTGTATAAATCTGTTCAAGTGGTCGTACAAAAAATAAATTAAGATTCAAGTTGAAAGATGTGGGAAACTCATCTTCACAAAAACAAGGCAATCCCCACACTAATAAAATTAAGTTGCAGCCCAAATAATACAATTATTGTATGTTCTACTTCTATACTAGGATCCCATTTACAAAATAAGAGTTTTTATTATCCAATCTCCTCTACCATATTTTTTCTGAAAATCTATCATTTTATCACAAGATTTATTTGTAAAATTATATTGTTAGGCAACTCATTTTGTATTAAAGGTCCTTTTAGTGATAAAAATCCCATTTTAGAAGACCATCAGACCCTACAAAGTCAATAAAATAATTCAAACTGTCCAGTACTGATCAACCGGTAGTTAGAACACTTCCAATAGGATTCTATTTATTGGAATTCTTAAATTGTTATGTATATGTATATATTGTATATGTGTATGTAGTTGTGGTATCTACTATTTTGTAGAGAATTCTACCCTAACGATTTTTTAAATCTCATATTAAAATTTTTCAATGGGTAGAACCGCCATTTAAGGTGCTTTTTGCCAGTCCATTCCTTATTCTAGAAACTGCTTTGCAATAGGTCTCAGAGACACCAACGTTTTAGGAGTCTTGCTTAGGTCGGGTTCATAAATTCTAAGACTTGTCCGTCAAGTAAAACTCGTAGAGCCTGGAAAAACTCCAATTTTCCAAAACCCTCTTTCCATAACTTCTATATATAAAGCAAAAAAGGGACGTAAAAACACATGAAATAATTATACTCTTATTTATTCTCTCTAATGACAGTGTTTTGTTTTCCCAGATTAAATAGTTTACCTATCAAAGTGGGAAACTCATTTTCACTAGTCAACACATTAACATCTGTTTGAATAAAAAGTAATGCATAAAACCCATAAGATATTGATACCAGTACGTCATAATTAGAGAAATACACACACATAAGAACTATCAACTATTTAACACTTATGATCATTCTTCACCATGTGGATTTAAACCTATGATGCCTGATTATATCCATATCTTTAATGTAGGCTGTTCTGAAAGTATGTATGTTATATACATTCCATGAAGCTGTTGCGTTGATATTTATGAACAAGTACTTCAACTGAACCTATTCTTACCTGATTTCTCTTGCTTAAGCACTCGTCCTTGAGCCTGATGGAGCATGGAAACCTTTTTTTTTCTTAAAATCAGGAGAACATATATGAGCATGAAATCAAGAAATCAGAAGGCTTCCATGTTTTATTTTTTCATATACGAGCTGAAAACACTCTTAGAACAACTGCAAATAAACTAAAAGGATTTTGTTTCTTGACTAAGCTCTGTTCATTAATTTGTGTTTGGCGTAAGTGATCAGTCAGAGGTGAATAATCTGATTTACAAGTTCATGTTCGTCAGATCAAACTCGTAGAGCCCAAGAAACTCCAATTTTCATATGAAATATGAGCAAAGAGAGAAAGTAATAGACTGAGTGAGGCAAAGGAAATGTCACTATATATACTCCCATTAGTCTCTAATCCAAACCGAGCTAGAACGTCCATAGACAATAATTTCGTTTTATAAACCGAAGAACAAAATAGCATAAAGGAAATATAACAGACAAGAGATTGTATCCAGCAAATTATTTTAACAAAGTTTCTTGTGTTGCAAACACTCTCTTGCAGTTAAAGTATCAGCTCTGCGCAACATTCGAATAGCCAGCAACAGCAGAGAGCAGCAAGACTGCAAAATCATAACATTTGCCCAGTCAGTTTTAGTCTTGTAACTATGTATAGTTTAAACTACTTGTACCATTCTCAGAACCAGTAACACAATTAGAGCATTATTAACTGTAAATACTTTATGAAAAGTATCTCACCAATACTATATTACCATTTACCAATCCTAGTATTGGCGACATCTCACCAATACACTTTGGCCAAAAAATCTCACCAATGTATTAATATTATCTAATAACAGATTTTTTAAAATAAATAATTTTTATGTGATACATATTAACACAATTTTTCAACAAAACTCTATCATCTCTCTTTAAAAAAAAAAAAAAAAATCTTTTACACTATTACCAAATTCAGTTGCTTTAAATATGCAATGTAGTATACAGCCAGTAGCAGTTCAATATTTGATGCAAGCATGTTCATTCTAAAGAATGCAATATGGATTTTCAACAGATACAGAGAGATAAAAGCAGAGCAGAGAAAAGAATGAAGAGTCAAGTTCGAGAAGAATATTCGCACACGTGACGTGACTGTATTTGATAATATACCACCAAAAGCGGAATAAGAATGAGAGTGGTACGACGGAATATGTGGTATGCCTGATTTTTTAAAGTAAACGGTATTGTTATATCAATTAATAAAATAAAGATTATTTTGACGTACCATCCTTCTAGACACCCAGCAGTACTGCTTTGTTGTTGCGGCTGCTGCTGTGGTGGAGGATATGGCGGCGCATACGGAGGAGGATAGCCCTGCTGTGGGTAACCTTGCGGTGGATATCCCTGCGGTGGATACCCCTCCGGTGGATAACCTGTTATCACAAGAACAAAGTAGTTTAACGAACCCAAAAGTTCAGCATGAAGATGAAGGAGTTGGGAAGAAACCTTGAGGAGGAGGAACACCAACGGGAGGTTGATTGTACTGACTCATTGTTGTTTCTTCTCTAGGGTTTCTGATCTCCTGCGAAACGTGTAGCTCAAGTACAGGAGACGACGTAGACTAAAGGAGATGACTCAGAGTGCAAAGTCTAGATCCATAAATTTATAGTAGAAATTATAGGAGCCATAGAGATGTGTACAGAGAGATAAGGAGAAGGAAAAGTCATTGAGAGTGTGTTTTTAAGTAAAACGCGTTTTGCAGTAGTTATCACTTTTTATTTGGTTTTTATCCCAAAAACAATGAAAACCTCCACCATATAATAGCAGATATTTGTTTTGTTTATTTATAATTATATTATTATTTTTTTAAATATTAGCGTTCAAGTCTTGCTGCTACTTGTCAAGGTCATAAGACTTGGCTCTCCTATTTGGTCCAAAATTTGATTAACTACCTACACTTGATGTATCACAAAAATGCATAGTTCAATGAGGTTGATTGTACTGAGTCGTTGTTGTTCCTCTGCGAAACGTGTATATCAAGAAGCGACGTTGACGAAAGGAGATGACGCTTAGTGCAAAGTCTAGACCCATAAACTTATATAGAAAATATATGAGCCAGATATTTATGTGCAGAGAATGACAAGGAAAAGAAAAGTCATTTAGCGTATAATCACTATTCTTTTTTGGTTTTATCCCAATAAAACTAATGGATAAATAATAAATACGCCAGCATTTAAAAGCAGATATACAGTATTTGGGTTTACTTTACCCTATATCAAATGTTTTGATATAGTAAAAATATTTTATTTGTTTTTATTCCATCAGTTTCATTATAAGTGTTATTTAACCATATTTCACACATATTAAAAAATGAAAAATATATTAGTATACACTCATTTAATATACAGTTGTTTAAATAAAAATAATTATTTTTAAAAAAGTATTTGTTATTTAAAAGAACAAAAAGTTATGTGTGAAAATTAAAGGGATATATTTTTGAACAAGAACAACTGATACAATAACACTTATTTAGAAATAAATGAAATATTAAATATGGCGTGATAATAAATGCGTTCATACTGACACGTATTTCATCTTTAGAATGCTGACATGTCAACTTTACAAACTTTTGATAATTAATGTGTTCATACACACAATTTAATGTGTTCATATACTAGTTTTTAATTAACTCATTTTAACCTTTGAGTTATTGAATTAAAATTCTATCTCTGCAACTAATGCTTAATACCATTATTGATAAAAAATATAAAATCATTAAAATTCGTATAAACTAAAATGTTGCGATGTGAACGTTTATCGAAATTGAAAGTTTCGCTCCTTTTCAAAATTGACCATAGTTAAGGTTTATGTACACGAAGACAACAAATCATTGTGATTGGCTATAAATTAAGAAAACTAAAGTAAAACATCTAACACACAAAGTCGGATCTTTAGTTTATCCAAATATTATTTTTTTAAGAAAATTTTCATATCAGATCAAAAATTAGAAACAAAATTAAATTGCTAGAAAAAACAGAAATTAGTTTAAAATTCACAAAATTGATAAAAAAAAATAATTTAGGTACTGAGTAAAGAGATCAAATTGTAATATATATATATATATATATATATATATTATTTATATTTTTTACGGATAAAATTTAATTTTGTTTATATGAAGAAAATTACTAATTTTTAGGTCTATTTTATTTTTAAAAATTTTACTATCATGTGTTATTTTGAATAAAAATGTTTTAATGTTAATTAACGGTAACTTCATATATTTATCACCACATTTATGTACTTTTACATACACATACATGTGAACATTGACGCGAGCGATTATATAACTAAATATTTACCACAAGTGATTATTCTAATTCTTTTGGAAGTTGAAATTTATATATTTTAATGTTTCTTTTCATTATCGATTAACTTGTAAAATTGTAGTGAAATTATTTGTCTTAATAATTTTGTGTTCTCTTCCACTATTATTTAGATTTGATTTGATTTTGCATACCTTTAGAAATTATAATAGGAATCCATTCGTTCAATATCAGGAGTGTCTAAAATTATATAACATGAAACCAAACAATTAATAATAGTTTTTGGTTAGCATCAGAAAAATCAAAAAAAATCAAACATTTTAATTGAATAAACTAGATTAAATATGGATTTAAAATTTCATATATTAAAACAAAAGTCATGACCTTGATTCATGTGTGATTTTTTTTTTATAAACAATGGACCATTACTAGAAATTCTTATTATATGTCTTTCATTAAAATTAATAATATATAGAATCTTTAAAATAATTTACTCGTAATATCTTTTGATAATCTTTCATTTTAATTATAAATATATTTATTTAAAATCTAACAAATCTGTTTTAAAATAGTTTTATAAGATCTTCATATTATCTTTAAATATTTCCACTAATTTATTATTATACATTAATAAATTCAGTTAAAGTTTATAAAATAAAATATTACATCATATTTTATTTCAGTTAAAGATATAATCATAATTAATCATATTATAATAAAATTATTATATTGAGCTAAATTTAATAAAAGTGTATTGATTTGATAAAATTCTATATTTTATTTCAATGTATATAATATTTATATTAAAAAATAAAACCTAATATGTTGGTAAGACGGGTTAACATTAGCAAACTATATAATACATGTATATAAATTAACATGTATTTCATAAAGTTAATAATACAAAATCTTTATAACTACTTTAATCATGATATATTTTTATTTTAAATATAAATATATATAGTTTATATAATAATTTTTTAAAAATTATAATAAATCTGTGTAAAATATTTTAAGTTAATGTATTTTATGTTATCGTTATAAAATGAAAAATATAAATTATATCCTATTTGATTTACTTTATAGTCATAGTTATCTTATTAAAAGACAATTATTATATTGAACTAAATATGATAAAACTATATTAAAATTATAAATTTATAAATTTTATTTTCATAAATATAAATTATTTTTTTAAAATATAATATGTTGACTGAACAACTTAAAATTATCAACATGTCTAAAAATTAGCATATGTTAGACTTTTGTAAATACAATAATATATCAACTAAAATGAATAAACATAAAAACGTTGGTAAAATAAAATCCAAATATGAAATTCGGGTTAGAATTTACCATAAATTAAATATAAAGTAATTTTCAAATATTTTTTCTCATGAATATGTTAATTTGCTTAATAACTAAATACAAATACTATAAGATAAATATATAATAAGAAGTGACAAATACATACGGTTTTAACAATTAATTAATATAACATGTAAATTATAAAATTATTGTACTTGAAATAGTTATATAAACATTTAAGTATATGATTAACGTTAAAATATATACCACTTATGTTTAAAAACAAATATTTATGTATATAAAAGTGAAAACAAATACATGTGCAGTTGCGTGGATCAAAATCTAGTGATAGTTATATTTTAGGAGATGTCAAAAAACAATTTAAAATTGAACTGACATCTAGGCTAAACAGATTTAATATCTTTTTTATCTTAAAAATAATGAAATTAATAATCTCATTCCGTGCAAGGCACGAATTTTACCTAGTCTTTAATTAAGTGTACATAAAAAAATATAATTAAATCATCTACATCATATACTCTAAGAAGCTTCACATATATATGGCGTATTAATGAATTAAATGTTCATGATATTTGAAGTGCTATGTTTTGGTCAGTAACATGACATCTAAGTTTAAGAAGAACTCATTTGAAATTTCACAAGGTACCTTTTTGTAGATATTTTTACATGTTTACTATAAGATAACTTTCCCCCAGTTTCACCTTTGGATTTGACTTCTCTTTCACTTTTGAGTGCACCAAGTCACCAACACATGCTAGGTGAAAAGGAAGTGTGGGTGTAGAATGTAGAAGGATATATATCGAATGGAATATGTTTCTGAATATATTTATGAGTATGTTTCTGAATTGAATATGTTGCTGTAGTCTATAATTTAATTTTAGTTCATTCTTGAGTTTCAAAACTATACGACCGATAAAGTCGTACCTTGTACTCGTTTATTCATGTCAACAGAAAATCCTTTATCAAAACAACAACAAAAAAAACGAAAAGAATGTGGGAAACCCATTTTTCACTAAGTCACACATACACATTTATAAAACATGGTAGTCTCTACTACCAGCTGTTTAAGTAAACAATAATGCATAAACTAGTGCAAGGTTATACTGCAAAATTCAAATAGCCAGTATTAGCTCTGAGCAACATTCAAATAGCCAGCAACAGCAGAGAGCAGCAATACTGCAAAATCATAACATTTGTTCACATTCTCAATTAGTTCTAGACTTTTAGTAACTATAACTTGTGCAAGTATGTATGGTTTCAAGTTTCATCTACTCGTAACATTCTCAATACCAGTAACAAATATACAAATCCAGTTGCTTTAAATATGTAATGTATTGAGGACTCATATGTAAATATAGTATAATAGCCTAATCGTATATCTCAATATGTTAATATTCCTTATATGGAGATGATACGAGGGTTTACTCTTGGTTGTATATAAACCTTTTGGCTTGATGAATAAGACGGCACAAGATTACGTTCTCTCTTTGACATGGTATCAGAGCCAAAAGGGTTCATAGAAAATTGAAAGAAAAGAGAGAAAAGTTTACAGAGAGAAAGATGGGAACAAGAAAAGAAGATGGAGAGCTCGCGGAAAGCAGCGCAGGAACGATGATGGCAATGGAGAAAGCCAAACTGTCACCGTATTACCTTCATCCATCAGATGGACCAGGAAACGTGATCACGACGGTTCAGCTGAAAGGAGAAAACTATGAGGATTGGGCTAAGCAC